GTGATTTAATAAAATCACTAACTCCAGGAGTATTTGCGCTTGATGCTGATGGCGGAGGAGCTTCACCGGTTGCTTCTACTGCAGGTGCGGACAAGAAATGGTCATTTGACTCAGTAATCACCTTAAACAGAATATAATTTAATCGAAGTAACAGTACGAAAAAAGTAGAGAACAAAAGAGATCACACAACAAAAAGGTTGACACTAACTGCATTAGGTCTTTGATATTCCAGCTGATGCTTATGAACCAGAAGTCGAGCAACCCATTTCTGTATCGGGCATGGAAGTCGATCAATTTTCGAAGCCTGAAAAGCAATTATTGAATCATATGTTATCACTAGAAAATGGATTAGACCTGGAACCAGCTCCATTTCCATCCGCCTTTGCTGTTCTGCTCATTGATGTAAGCATGTATAAAGTCGTAACTTGAGGTCTTCACTTTCTCACTGACATGCAGTGCATACCGGCCATGTCGCAAACCACTCATTGGAGTCGACTGAGAAACGCTGGGAGGCCGCGCTGCTCCCTTTAAAAAATAAAAGAGGATACAAGTATCATTTCAGCTCAGTAGTTACAGATGAATGTAAGTGGTAGTGGGAGACATTACGACTAACGAACTAAACTTACTCCGGAAACTTTTTGTACCGCAGCCACAGGTGTAGTGCCGTATGGTTCCATAGCAAATACCGATATGGTATTTTTCGGTATTGGTAGAAACTGCAGCAGAGCGCGCAATTCGGGAGGAACCCTCTGATCTGCTATTTCCTTCTAAATAGTTAACTAAGATATAGATGAACGATGTCGTTTAATGTTAATGAAAAACATTGCTCACTTTGAGTTTCTTGATTATAATGGAATAATATGGCCACCGAAACTTGGGCTCGCTACCTTCGCTTGGTTGCTGTGTTGCCGTTGAAGGATCCGTTAATGTCCAAAGCATTAATGTGGATAACATGTCGTAGCACGAATCATAAAGTATCCTAAAACGTCAGAAAAGCGTTTGTGACAGGTTCTTATCTCGAACATGTAAAAATCCTAGTATGAGTCTTCCCCTGAGT